TGAGGCGGGGGGGCTTTGTCGATAAAAAAAAAAAAAAAAAAAAAAAAAAAAAAGTGGTGGCCCCTCTCATCACTGCGCGAAACAGTTGCTTAAAAACTGAGCGTGGTCCCCCCCCGCCCGGTCTGCGCCCCTTTCCGCACACCTCGCCCGCCGGTCGGGCTGCGCGGCCGCGCAAAAACCGCGCAGGGTCGGAGCTGATGTCACCCAAGCAAAAACGCACCTGAAATCATCCCTCCTGCTCGGCAGGACGCTAGGATTCCTGGCGGGTTTCTGTAGGTTTCTGTCCCTCCTGTCTCGTTCCCCTCGTGATTTTGGCTAGGTGAGCAAAGGGCCGGGAAGAAGCGGTGTTCATCGTTTTCATGGGATCAGGTTTTTCGCCTTTGCTTTTCAGGGATCAGAGAGACGTTTTGGAGGGGGGCTGCAAGCCCCCTGTTTGAAACCCGACGGTGAAACTGAGCTCTCGTCCTGGTTAAAGCAGGTAACTGACCGAGCGCAACGCGGTACGCAGCGGTTACCCGCAGCGATCACCCGCACGCTGGTTTTTGCCAGAGCACAAGGCAGCAAGGAGCTTTTTACGCAAAGGAGGGGGGGGGAAGGTACTTTGAAAGCATACCGAAGCCTAATGAAATGGCTCTGCCATAGCAGACTGACACTAGCGACAAACACCTGGATTTGCTAGATAGAAAACAAACTCTGCGGTGTAGACGGCGTGTTCTTTACACAGGCATAAAGAAATAACGAAGGGTTTCATTTAAACGGGTTCATATCAGGCAACCGCCCTGCTCGGGTGCAGCGGGGTTTGTAACCCCGCCCTGGGGAGCGGGGTCGGCACAGCGGCGGTGGGCGCTGGGGGGGGCGGCGGGGACCGGCCGCTCCGGCTCGCATCCCCCGGGAAGAGCGCGCAGGGGTTTGTTAATTACATTGATTGGGAAAGCAGAGGGGAACCAAGAGCACTGGGGTAGCGGTGTGTCCCTCCGACACCCCCCGTCTCTGAAAGCCAACCCCCATCCCCGGAGAGGGCCACGGGCAGGGGCGGCGGAGCAGCCCAGAGGAGCTGGGCTCTCTCCCCTTCCCCACTCGCGTCCCCGGATCCGCGTGTCTCCCCGGCTCGGCCCCGGCGGGGGGGGGAGCCGCAGCGAGGGTTAGGGGGGC